CCATCATATTTATATTATTTTCCAAAACACAGTTATTTTGAGAACTGAAGAAAACAGTTTTCTATATGGGAGTAGAGGGAGCTACGATCAAATCGAGGAAAGAGGATATTTTATTTTTCTTCCAGTGCACCATCCGTTGCATTGGTCGTGTTACAATACATTTTATTCGGATACCATCTTTTTATCAAAAACTCATATGATTAGTTTAGAATTTAATGTGTTTGTTTCTTAACAACACGAGCAGTGTTGTTAGTATCACTAAAGGTATTTGAAAATATTTCATATTTTGCTATTAATAACTTTAATTTGATTGAATAAATGTTTTGTGATTTTAAGAATTACATTAGATGTATTATATATATATTATTATTCTAGATATCTTTAAGCGAAAACTATAATGACAAATTGATTATATAAAATAATATTTATACTGCAATATCTATATAATTTCGTAATTAAAGGAATATCCTGCAACATATTTAAAGGGCAATAAAGTGTAACCTAAATTACATTTTTACCAGATTTTGTGTTATTAGATGTTAAACTTAATTCCTGCCGTTTTTCGTCTCCAAAATCGATTTGTTTTGAAGGGAAATACCTTAATCAAAGTATTATTAATAAAGTATTTTTAATCAGTAATAAAGTGGAAAGTGGAGGAAATTACTTTGATTAAGATATTCATTCATCTTTCCTTCGAAACAAATCAATGTTGGAGACGAAAAACGGCAGGAATTAAGTTTAACACCTAATAATTTAACATATTATAAATATTAATATTTTGCTTAAAAGTTTTTTGTTATGAAAAGTGGAGGAGGAGAAAATAAAGCTCAAATTGAAAGAAAAACCCGAGAAAAAATGTTTTATATATACAGAGTGTCCGGAAAATTGCCCGTAATACTTCGAGAAATTATTTGGGATCCAAAAAGAAGGAAAAAAAGATTTAAACATAGATCTGAAAATAAGTCTTTTCCGAGTTATAACCACTTTTATGTTAAAAAAAATGGTAATTTATTTTTCATAATCACAATCATAATTCATTTCATAGTATTTTAACATAAATAATTACATTTCGGACTATTTTGGCGTTATCCAGGATGCACCACGTGGAGATATAATCCGCTTGGCATTCCTCTTTTTTTATTTCTTTATTTTTAAATTTTTTTTTGGGTAACGCTCGAATAGTTCGAAATGTAGTTATTTATATTAAAATACTATAAAATGAAATTATGATTGTGATTATAAAAAATAAATTATAATTTTTTTTAACATAAGACCCATTCAACAATGCGACGTCTTTTGGACGTCCAAACGACGTCCTGTTCATCATACAAGTACGTACTAAATACGTCTCGAAGAGATCCAGTAGACGTCCAGTAGACGTCTTTTGTTCGTACAATGTACCGCCTAAAGACATCCAACAGACGTCGTTAGTACGTACAATTCACAGCCCAAAGACGTCTAGTTAATGTCGTTATCTCGGTCAAAATCAAAATGATTTTCAGAGATGCCGGAGAGTTTGTGAGTTATCGTAATTCATTGCTATGTTGCCAACATTTCGTGAACTTTACCGTTCATCAGGAGGATCCTCGTCCTGATGGAGTAAACGGTAAGATTGACGAAATGTTGGCAATGTAGCAATGAATTATGATAACTCACAAACTCTACTGCATCTCTGAAAATCATTTTGATTTTGAAATATTTTTTATTAAAAATCATAAAAAATTCAATTTTATTGTACCAACTAAGATAACGAACATTTAAAAAATAGCTATTTTATATGCGCGTTACGAAGGTCTAAAGCCAAAAGGTAATGAAAATGTTTCAACGAAATTGATATTTTAATTCAAAGGACAGGAAACACACACATCACGAAAAACGAAGATTAGATTCACAAAACGTTTATGTGCGCAGAAAGTAAAATCAGATTGATATAATTTTTTGTTACAGAAAATGCATATAACTACACATGAGCCAAATAAAAGTTTCTTCTTTTTTAAATACACAATTATTACACTTTACTTACCGAGCTTAATATAGCTTTATGCAACTATAATACTTTATATGATTTATACAGCTTTATAAACTAAATTTTAAATGATTTTATAAAATGCATAACAATCTTATACAAGATATTAAAAGGGTATGAATGGAAGACAAAGATAATGATTAAGAATATAATTTCAGCAAGAATTTCAGAGAAATATCAAAAAATTTCAGAGAAATTTCGGTTAGATTTCAGTATACGAGGGGCACTATTTATATTTTGAGCCTTAGCAACATTGAGTGTTGTCAGGTGCCATCGGACGTTTCCACTAGAAAGTTTGACATTTTTTACCATAACTTTTTTCAGAACGTTTTTTGAGCGCGATTTGTATTGTTTACAGTCACTTGAAAATTGTGTCTCAGCGAAAAAATGGAATTAACTCGTGAAAATTTTCGTGCAATGATTTATTACG